GAAAAAAAAATTGGTCATTTTACAAAAGACAGTCGAAACTCGAATTTCTTGATGCACACCCATGCTTCATTGAGAAATATTGAGCTTGTTCGCGAGTAGTTCACAGCTCATTTACAACCTTATCATCCTATCGAGAATCAACCAAGCATTTTTTGTTTCCTAATTTCGGGTATGCTTATGATGGTTACTAATGATATGTCTTGTGGAGTAATTTAAGGTTTCTTTAGGGTTTTAATTTCTTATGTTATATAAGGCGTTGTTGGATGAACAATCATAAGTGCTAAATATTGATTGATAGCCTAGCCAATTTAAGTCATTATGTAACCCCACTTGAGAGATTTTGTGAGATGGAGAGTGTTGTATCTCTTTTGTTTTATCTCTTGTTTATCCTCCATGAAAGCTAATAAGAAAATACTATACCTTACCTTGTAGACGTAGATCATGTTGAGCGAACCACGTATATTTGTGTGTTCAAATATAAGTTTTATATATTTTTGTCTATGTTCCACACATATCAAATACATAACCTAATTCAATCGACCCTTGTCTATTTCCTAAGTCCTAAAAGTCCCAATTGATAATTGTTCTCAAACGATGTTTATTGATAAATATGAACCTCTAAAGTCTAAAATATCCAAAATAAAAAACATGAATGAAATACATTAATAAATAATGTTACGTAAGGAGTAGTTTGTAGTACCTCACATTTTATTGTCATTTTCCCAAATTCTTATCATAGTTTAAATTATTGTCATTGTATGCGTAAACTTTTCCTACAAAATATCTTTACCCTAAGTTAAGAATCTCTTGCCCACCATGGCACCATGGAAGGTGAATCAATTCGCCCTTTAATTCGTGCGTCATCTTTTAAGTTGTATAGTATTATTACCTATCTTCTTCTTAAATTTTGATGCTATTTGTTGGCTAAACAAGACTTCAAGAGTAGATGGAAGTACATTGCATGAAGCATCATTTAATTGTCCTTCAATGTATCGTCACTTTAAGTTTCACGGGTCGACTAATATGCCTTTCATAAGTCAACTACATAATTATAATTGCACCTACATTTTAGAATCCATTATTTTTTTTAGTACCAAGCTAAGCAAGCTTAAATATCAAGATCCGTTGACTTGGAAATCATATGCAAAAAGCACAAAAGTTGACAAATTCTGAAAATCTTATAGAACAATGTGTGATTAATGGATGAAGTCATGAAGATGCTAAGATGCAAAATTAAGATTGTGAAATAACATTGTTTAAATTCTTATTTGTTTTCGAGTACACCTAAAGTTAGACATATTCATGAGTGTTTCTATCACTTGTATTATAAGTTTTGCTAATTTAAAATGAACAAACAAAAACTCTCGATGAATTAGCTCTAACTGTATTTGATATATATTGCCATATTGGTGGCAAACCTACTATGAATTGAAGAAGCCCTTTGCAGTTTGCACCAAACAACCTAGCTACACTAACAGTGTGTTTTGATGTACTTCATATTTAGTTCAACTCCTACTGTAAGTAGTGATAATATATTATTGTGAAAAATTAGAAAGTGACAAATATATTTTAGATGCTTCATAAATTAATACTACTACTGAACTTGACGTAGGAAAAAAAAAATCCAAATTGCACAAGAAGAAGCAAAGAGGAGAAGATTAATTTTTTTTTTTATATTTTTTTACTCAGAGGAGAAGATTAGTCTAATATACGAAAGATACTTAATCCTAATCATCTTGGATAGTTGGATACATGTAGTGAAACTACCAAACTAACAAACTTTATGCTTTATGAGTTTATGGAGATTACTCCAAGTTGGGGTTTAGATATATGTAGTAGTTTTAATTATCCAAAAAACTAATGCTAATATATTAAATTTTATATTAATCACCCATGTACAAGATGAGGTGGAATCTCCTATAAACTAAGCATCTTAAAATAATACTAAAAATAATTTTTTATGTTTTGAAGACTTTTTTCCCGTAAAAAGGCAAGCACTTTGATGGTAGAAATTTCATCCCTTATCCTTCCCCCCTCACTACCAAGGAAATTTTGCGTGTTATTTTGATCAGGTAAAGGTTTGACCTTTATAAGATGTACTCTTCTTACCTATAAAAACATATAATGTGCTACATACTATAAAATAATAATATTTTTCGTCTTTGAAAATTCTTCAAGATCCACGACAGCATTCATCACCAAGTAGAACATTTAGAATAATTAAGTGGGGATGAGAAAGCATCTAATCCACCAATTGGTATTAATCAGAGTTCGAATCCGTTGAAGAAATGTATGTGTTGTGGGATTGATTAAGCTTTTAGTGTGCATTACTAAAGGATAAATAATCTATTCGATCATTAGTGCTCTAAAAGCAAAGCAAAGCAAAGCATATAATATAATAAGTGAAAATTGAAGTAATAAGATCCCATATCTTTTCTAATAAGTGATAAGTTCCTTAGTGTATGCAAAATAGTACATTAAAGAGAAAATAATTTAAAAAATAAAGAAATAAAAAGAAAGAAAGAAAAAGGGCGAGAGTTGTATATCATACAAGTCAAATATTTTACTCTATGTTGACTTTTAGAGATACTATAATACTATGGGAGCATGAAACAAAAGCAACAAATTAAAATGCATCAATGTCATTCTTGCACTAATCATTTGTGACAAAGATATGTGGATTGTGACATTTAGATAATTTTTACAGCTATTTCAACGAATGTAATTGAATACTTACAAAATTCATCGAATGCCATCAAATTTTTCAAAATTCACCAAATGTCACTGACAAACAATACAATGACACCTCGTGCCACTAATAACATATGGACGTTAGTTTTCCGTTAATGCAATTCTGATTTCACCAAATGCCATTACTATGGAAAATTATTTCACCAAATGCCATTACTTTTTAAAATTAATACACAATAATTATTTATTTTAATGAATAAAAATAATACTTTTTTTCGATTTTCGTGACGAATATTGTTCGGGTAAGGTTTTGGGGGTCATTTAGACCCTTCATGGGTACAAATTAAACTCAAAATTGGTAAAAAAAAAAAAAGGTAAATACCCCGTTTTGCATTTTTTCTCGAAAAAAATTGCGATATCGACATACAAAACAGGGCATATATGTTATTTTTTAGTCAATTCCGAGCTTAATTCGTTATCATAAAGGATCAAAATGACCCCCAAAACCTTACCCGGTCATTTTTTATGGCTAAAAAATAATGACACGCTAATCGAAATATTTTTCAACACACAAAGCAGAGCATTTATGTCATTTTTTTTTCAATTTTGAGCTTAATTTGTAGCCATAAAGGGTCAAAATGGCCCCTAAAACCTTACGTCCTTACCTGATCAATTTTTATGGTTAAAAAATAACGACACGCTAATCGAAATATTTTTTAAATACAAAACGGAGCATTTACGTTTTTTTTGTCAATTCCGAGCTTAATTTGTATCCATAAAGGATCAAAATGACCCCAAAACTATACCCGAGAAATTTTTTCCACGAAAATGAAGAAAAAATTTCATTTTTATTAATTGAAATAAATAATTAAAATGAACCAGTCATATTATGACACGTGTCAAGATTAAATATTAATGAATAACGGAGTTAACGACCATCATTCATTAATGACATTTAGTGAATTTTATAAAAGCTCGATGGCATTTGGTAAATTTTGAAAACCTTGATGGCATTTGGTGAATTTTTTAAGTACTTAGTGACATTTGATGAAATAGCCGTAATTTTTGTTGAAGGAGAGAATAATATTTCAATATCTCATGGTTAAGTTGGATAATATATTTTCCTTTAAAAAATTTTGGATATGGAAAAAAGGGTAATGTTATATGCAACCCTTATAACCTTAAAAAAGCATTAAATACACTTTTTAAAATAGTGTAAATTTAAGAATTTATGACAAAATTGTGCATAGATGTGTGTAATTAATTTTTATAGGCTATAGGGCCGCATAAAAGCATAAAATACACTTCTTATAAGCTTCTATTGATATGATGTTAATTGTCTCTAATTAAGTCTTTCATTGTGTGACTTAATGATTTAACTCTTCGAATAGTGTTTGGACAATACATCTTTTAAAATGTTTATTTACTTATTTACCCAAAATGTTTGTTAACCGATATGACTCTATTGATAATATGTTATTGCCTATAAGCTTTTCCTTGTATGATTTAATGATTCAACTCTTATGAATAGTGTTTGGACAATTAAAATGTTTAATTACTTATTTGCCCTCATTGTTAACGTTAATGACCTTTGGTTTAATTCTTAAGAATAAAGTGTGTACATTTATATCCCTAAAAATATTTGTTTACATGTTTTTCATTATTATGTTGTCAACAACTGAAAGAGCTTCCCAAACATGGCTAAATATGGTGCACCACCCTTGTTAATGATAAAATTACACATCAACTGATGGTAAATACTACCTCCATTACATGTTATGTGCAACAATTTGACATAAAGCAGAGAGGAAAAATGTCTAATCGTTGCACATAACCTGTAACAGAGGTAGTAATTTTTTATCTTTCTTTTACAATCTACATTTCGTTTATTTGTTTTTTTGCCTAAACATAATTTACCTTTTCAAACTACGTAGTATTTTCGAAGTAATCAAAACATATGTGACCAAGTAATCCCTGACTGGTCGAGTACTTTCGGAATAAATAGCCCCTAAATATATGTATAGCGCGATTTTATGTGTGTCTGATGAGAATTGAACGTCACACCGCATACTTTTAGACCACTGCTCAATTTGTATACCTTGGATGAAAAGTAAAGTAAATGAAAATTTTCTCATACTTCCTAAGCCTAGGCACAGTCTTCAAACGTGTTTCATAGGTTATTGGGCTTTAAGTTAACCGTATGTTTTATGCCATTTATTCCGAAACCACATTTACCAGATATATGCACATTTATCACTTCAGCCACAAAGCCCAATATTCTCTCTATTTACAAATTGAGTGAAAACAGATTTCTTCAAAAATTCTACAATATTGTAGTCACCTTAGCTTTAATGTCTTCAAGAAATGTATTGATAGAAACATGTGACATGTCTCACTTTATATTTAATACACTTGAACATTCTAAATGCCTCCATTTCACTAAAACATTGATTCAAAAGTTTAGCTAGCGGGGACAGCCCAAGCAAAAGCTTTCAAGTCTCCAAGCCGAGCTACTTTGTCAGCATGATTGCATAGAGCCATGGACGCCTTATTGATCACAGGCAATTCTGGATACCAAACACCACTGTATTTACTACTTGGCTAGCATAGGAGGTGCTAACTAAACACCAGCTTCCAGCTTCAGTAGGCATTTACCACCAACCAGTAATTGTTGTCGCTTCTTCAGTGGTCTTCCTGGATATTCAGAAACCAGAATGAATATCCAGAATGCACAGAAAATTTTCCCAAAAAGCCAAGCGTTGGTTTCTATTGTGCCTCCACAAGTTCAGTTGGTCCTTCACAGGATTGCATCCACAATGGTGATAGAGTAACAACCTTCCCAATAATTATGAGTGTAGGGGATACCAGTCCAGTACATTTGATTTTATCAGCAAGATCCTCCAACTTTGCAAATACCTATTCAAATGAAAATTCAGCCACTAGGTTAGCTGAAATGTGTCTCCCAAATGGAGTTGCCTGCATAAACAGAAGTTACATAACTCTACATACCTAATATTACCATATCATGATGAGAACAAACTAAAAACGCAAAGGAAGGTCTATCCAAAATGCTTGACTCCTACTGTAAAAGATAGCAGATCATACACATCCAAGGACACAGGTAATATACATACTATACAATCGAAACAACTAGTGAGCACAGATTACATGCCTTGCATTTCCATGCAAATAGGATATAAGAGGCTAATGTTACAGTGATATTACAGTATTATGACAAGAATAAACTTAAAATGCAAAGGCCCATCAAACATGCTTGGCTCCTACTCTAAAAGGTAGCAGATCAGACATCCGAGGACACAGGTCATATACATACTATACAATTGAAACTAGTGTGCACAGATTAGAAGCTTTGCATATCCATGCAAATAGAATAGCAGAGGCGTATGCACAATGCTCACCATAGATACACCCAAAACGTAGATTTGTGTTATCTTTGGCTACTAGAGCTTGCAAAACAAAATTACAAATAGTTGGCAGAATCCACAGGCTTCTTATTTAAAATTTCGATGGGAAAGTTGCTAATTGTTATCCCTACAATCAATCCATTAAGGGGGTGTTTGGTATTAACATTGTAAATGAAACGGAAAGGATTCAAATAAGTAGGGGAAAGGGTAATGATAAACGTTACCTTTACTATTCGTTTGGTATCTTAGTGGAATGAAAACAAATTAAGTAGATTGTGATTAAGGAAACGTATTTTGCTTCCACTACTTTGTCAAAGGTAACAAATTGGGGGATTTTGTTACCCCCCGGATAGGGTATTTGTTACTTTTAACCCATGCCAAACAACTAGAAATGGAAACACTTAATTGAATCCGTTTCCTACATCTAAAATTATTAAACCAAACCTTTCCTAATTGTAAACTTTGGAATTAGTGCACATCAGTTTTGGATTCAAACAATTGATGACTTGTTAGAAGATAAAGGTATTTTTCCAATTTATATCAAGATCTTGTAAATATGTTTTTAATTAGTTATGTTTTTTTCAGGACGAAGACAATTTTCATATGTCCATTACTACTCCCTCAACTAAGACTGATCCATCAAATTTCTAATAGAAATCCAACATATGTTCTTTGGATTTGAATATGCGTTCTAGAGGTTTGAACTTTATGTTCTTTTACCGTATTTTTTTCTCTTTTTTTTCTTTTTTTGTTTTGTTTTTATTATTATGAACTATTTTTCCATAAATGAAGACAGTTTACATTCATTGGTTTAAATGTACATGGTATGTTATTTGTATTTAAATAGGTTTTTTTTTTTTTTTTTTTTTTTTGAAAATTTAACATGAATCATCCAACATTTGCTCCGTTCTCTCACAATTCCTCCTCTTTCTATCTCTTCCCCTCCATACCGCTTTCTCTTATATGTACCTTCAATGGCCTTTCTCTCTCTTCCCCTTCCTCCATAGCTCACACCAACACCACTCACCACCACCATGAACCACAAACTACAACCACCACGAACCACTGCAAACCACTCGCTCACTATCACTCACATCTCACCATGAAGCACTCACCACTCCCCATGAACCTCACCGCTCTTCTACCAAGAACCACCACCACCACACAGCCCAAACCACCCACAAATCTAAAACTCCAGACGAACGAGCCTTGACAGTGGGCTAGTGGTGGCTGTTTCGAGGAGGAGAGAGAAATTGAATTGAGAGAGAATAAGGGGTAAGATTTTGATGGGGTGGGTGGCGGACTGGCGACTGTTGGGTGGGTGGGGTTGTTGTGGGGTGATAGTGTTTACAGGATGGTGGTTTCGAGGTTATGAATAGGGAAAGGGAAATGGAGAGAATGGCGGGGGGAAAGGGGTTGCAGAGAATGTGGCATGTGGGGGAGGCGGAGTCTGCGAAGGGGAGATGAGGAAAGGGAGTGGTGGGACACTGGTGGCCAGTAGGGAAGGGAGGGAGGGAGCTGCTGGTTGCAGTAGGAAAGGGTAGGGTGGATGCTGGTTGCGGCTAACGGTTGTTGGGTAGATGGGGTTGTTTTGTGGTGGTGTTCAAAGGATGGTGGGTTGGGGATCCATGATAGTCCCATGTCTCCTATATATTCTCTATAGATGTCCATAAGGACAAAGGAGGAAGTAGGAGAGAATAAGAGGGGAAAAACAATGTTTGACTTCTTAGCCGATTTCAAATAAAATAGTTTGCTAGGAGAAAATAAGTAGTAAACTTAGGAAAGTTAGGATTATTCAAGAATTATTCAAAGATTAGATTATTTTGGGAGAACGATGCAAATGTTGGATTATTGTCGTGAAATCTTCCTTATTTTTTTAGTCTATGTTCTTTAGATTCCCTAATGTTTACCGGAGTTTATATGTCTGATTTACCCCTAATGATTTTAGGGGTTCATGTTCTTTGGTTCTAGCTCATGTTAATTGTAGTACACTTCTTTTGTTTCAACCCTTATGATATTTTGTTTTATGCTTGATGTTCTTTTAATAATCAAGAGACGCACCTTTTCTATTGTGTGTCATTTTGAAATGGGTTTACAGTGTACACTACACATTTGCCTCCACCATCATTGAAATTTCCACACCTTCTAATTTTACCTAGTTTAAAGCTACTTTTGACTTATAAAAGGTATCAAGTTTCAAAGTTGAGTTTATCTCTGATAATTGGCAAAAGTGCTTTTAGTCATAATCGTATTTTACAAATTTTCCAATGTATATATCATTTTAAAGTGGAGTACATTGTTTCACTTAACCCCTCTTAAATTCATCTAATTGTAGCATTTAAAATGATCCACCCACTCAACTTTTCAGCTTCCACACTCTTTTAGAAAATGTTCTTTCCCTTCATTGGAAAAAAAAAATAAAAAAAATTAGATTACTCATATTCCTTTCTATTTTACCCTTCCACATCTATGAAAAAAAAAAAAACTTAACTTGAGGTTGGTTTTAAGTTGGAGTGGTTAGGTCAGGATATCTTTATTCAGGTTATTCATCAAAATTACGGTTCAACTAAAGTGGTTCATTGAATGAATCTTCCTATGAATGTAGAAGAATTGTTACCAAGGTAAGGGGAGAGAGCAATAATTAAATGTGGCTAGAGCTGTCAACAGTTGACCCGACCCGAAATACCGACCCAAACACGATTATTAACCAACCTATGTGAATCCGAAAAAATGGTGACCCAAACCCGACCTGACCCGACCTAAAACCAACCCTAAACCCGAATATGTGAGACTCGAACCCGAATATGAACCGACATGGAGTCTGGAGATGGCCCGACTCGAATGTAACCCGTAAATTATTGACTTGAACCGAACCCGACTTGAACCGAAATTGACCCAAACCCGTTTTAACCCGTCAAAACTTCAATTTAACCAGACTAGTTACTAACCCGACCTGAATTCAACCCGACCCAAATTTAACCCGACCTGTTACAAACCCGACTCGAAATCAACCCAACTTGTTATTGACCCAACCTAAATTTAACACGACTTGTTATTGATCCGAACCGAATTTTACCCGACCTATTATTAACCCAACCCAAAAATTCAACCCGATCTATTACTAACCCGATCTGTTCAAATCACCTCAAATTCAATTTAGACCACATTATTATTGTTGATCAAAGCTTTTTGTCTAGGGAGACCAAGTCGGTCCGGGCAATAAAAGAAAGGAGCATCATCCAAAAATTTAAGTGTTAAATATAATATATATTTGTTGTATGGTTAAAGCCTAAATTATAGACTATAGTTCCCTAGTATGTTGACATATATATTATAGTCAAAGAAAATAATTAGCTTGATAAAAATGATAATTATCTATTTATAGTTAGTTAAACCCGAATATGACCCGACTTGGAAATAACCCAACCTGATTGTAACCCGCAAATTATTGACTTGAATATAACTCGACTTGAACCCAGAATGAACCGACTTGGAAATGATCCAACCTGATTATAACCCGCAAATTATTGGCTTGAACCGAACCCGACTTGAATCCGAAAATGACCCGACTTGAAAATGACCCAACCTGATTATAACCCACAAATTATTGACTTGAATCGAACCCGACTCAAACCCGAGAATGACCGGATCTGATTCTAACCCGTAAATTATTGACTTGAATCGAACCCGACTCGAACCCGAGAACTACTCTAACCTGTTTTAACCCGAATTAAAAAAACCTGACATATTGTTCACCCGACACAAATGTAACCCGACTTGTTATTAACCCGGCTCAAACCCGATAAGATGTATGACTTGACGTGACCTGACTTAAGCATGACCCAACTCGAACCCGACCCGCATAGGTTACGGCATTAACCCGAATTGACCTAACCCGATTTGACCCGACCCACTCTTACCCAACCCAAACCCGACCCGTTTCCCAACCCAAACCCAAACCCGACCCGTTTACCCAAACCCAAACCAAAATGTGGCTTTGAAGAATAGATCATCATTATAATTGTTCATGATTTTGAAAATAACTATAAGTTTTTTACACCATCTCTAATGGTGAGACTCAAGTTTGAGTATTGAAATACAAAATGAGTTGTTTTATAACTCCAATGGTGATACCATACCCACTTCTCAATTTAGCAACTCATATGAAGTCTATATTCTCAATGGTGAGATTCTCTAAAATATACAATTGTCACTTTCAATTTATGACCCATCAATAATTATAAGATTAAAAAATAATTAAAAAAAAAAGGTAAAACTTAAATAAATTACAAAATATAATAGAATATTGACAAGGGCTTACACTTTTTATCAAATAAGACTTAAAGTTCAGTATTTAAACTTAGCAAACTTTCTTTTGGAGTTGCTAAGTTTAGATACCAACTTAGAGCAATTTTAGCCCCAAGTCTTAAGACTTGAATGTGACATCATTTTTGGTGGTCCCCATTGAAAATGATGTCATAAAATTCTTGTTAAGATTCACTAAGACTTACACAAATTTATCACTTTAGCCCTAAGACTTAAATATTTGACATATTATATGTAGAAAGTGTAAAAAAAAAAAAAAAAAAAAAAAAAAAAAAAAGGATAATAAATATAAAAGTGAAGTGGGTCCCAATCTCTTAAGTTGAGTCTTGAAATTTCAAGACTCAACTTGAGACTTGCTTGAGATTTTTTGAAGAAAAATGGAAAAAGTCTTAAGTATAAATCTTAAGACTCAAAATGATGATGTCACCCCAAGTCTTAAGACTTGGGGCTAAACTTGCTTTTATTTGTATACAATATACATTGCAAAAAATACTCTCGCTCTCCTAAAATACTCACTTGAGTCTCACCATTGGAGATGGTCTTAGGATACACCACTTGGATAATTCCAAGCTTAGATACTAGTTTTAAGTATGACACTTTTAAAAAGCAAACCAAAGAATAACATTTCTTGCATTATTTTCTTATCTTCCACATTAAATTTTGGTGGTTTAATATCTTTTCAATTTTAAAGTTGAAAGAGTATTGGACATTGCAGCTACTGGAATGCAAAGTACAGAGAAAGAATTTATTTATATGATTAAAATTGTTTTTTATGGTTTTATTTTGTACATATCAACCCATAGTTTAACAATGTGCATTGCTTAAAGTATGAGGGTAAGAAAAATCCACCAGGAAAGTGCAGAAATAATAGAAAGATGATAATTTATCAAATCCTTGCCAGTCTACATCTCAAATTAAGCATGCTGGTGCAGTTAGAGTAAATCCCATCTTATTGAAAAGCCTAAACACAACGTTAGAAAGTTCAACATGATTGAATCAAAGAAAGATAAGGCATTTCTTACCAACCGCTGTTGAGCAGTTGTCCCTCTTTCCACTGCAACGGCAGGAGTATCACTAGGCAAGCCATGTTGCACCAATTTCTGGGCGAGAGCAGGAAGGGTTGCCAAACCCATATATACCACTAGGGTACAATCAGGGTCAGCAGCATTCTCTGCTACATACAATGGATCAGTTCCCCCATTTCTAGAATGTCCAGTGAGATATCTAACACTGGTAGCGATGCCTCGGTGAGTTAATGGTATTCCCAACTCTGCTGATATACCTGAAGCAGCAGTTATACCTAACAAGGAAGAAGATCTCAGACTATCACTTATGGTAAATGATATTTGCATCAGTATATTTAGACAGTAATAAAGGATGAAACATAAGACATTTTTCTTTTACAGGTGCAGCAAGTGGGAATTGGTGAGCAATTAAAGCATCCCTCATGATATCAAATGCTGACTGAATTCTATTATTATATACAACTAAGATCAATGAGTTAGGGATTTCAAGGCTGCATCAATTGTATTGATATCCCACCACATCTAAATCAACTGATACACAAATCACCAACTGGTTTGACAGGACTTATTCACAATAAAGTACTACCTCTTTTTCTTATTATTTGCAACAAAGGATATTTTATGTCTCACAAACAGTACCCCTTTGTTGCAACTTTAGTCAAACAAAACAGGTTTAAATAGGAACGGAAGAAGAAGAAAAAAACAACATTGAATGCTATACGGATGAGTTTTTCTCAGCTAATGGAAGAAACATTTATATGCTTCATATGAGACGATTAAAAAAAACAGATGCTTCAGTTCCTGAGATTTTATCACACTGATGAGTGATGAATAAAAAGTTTAGCTTATTGCAAGGGAGTCATAGCTCATAAGCCTCACAAGGTTACAGCTATGGTGTATGACTTAATATGACATTGAATGCAATGCAATCATGAACAAAACTTAATGTTTGACAAATCAAGAGCTCATTAAAGTACTACATCAAAAGGCCTTATTATATCTTTGTTAATAAAACATCCATTTTAACGAGTGGTAATTTCTTCAAGTCAAAGATAATTGCTCCTAGTAAGGAAATAGTTATGCTAAGAGTGCACCCTGAAGTTAACATCAATGACAGATTCAACCCTACAACTGACATTGATTGCAGATTCAAACATAAAGCAAAATATTGCAACAAACTAACAAAACCAACGGCTAAGCATAGCAAGAAACTAACAAAAGCCAGCCTATTAGAAGATGCAGGGATGCAGGTAAAAGCTTCCAGGAGTCTGTCAATCACTTTCACCTCATAAAAATCTGTTACTGTTATAATTACAAACTATAGTAACATTCAAATACTTGTATATAAAGTAACAGTTTCAACAAAATTTAGAAGAGCGGGATAAACATGAGACCAGGAAAACTTTTGACTTTCATCAACTACTGCAAACTATTGTGATCTTGTAAGTTGTAACAATCATACATACTTCGTATAAAGCTACACACTACAAGTTAGTACATTTAACAAAAAATATCAGAGCATACCAGGAACAACTTTGACTTGAATCCCCTTCTGCTGCAAGAAATCCATCTCTTCACCACCACGCCCGAAAATCTACCACAACAACACAGAAAATTAAGTACAAACATAGGCATTATGCAATGTATTGACACAAACGAAAAATTAATGTTAGCATACAAACATTCTTACAAGAGGATCTCCGCCTTTAAGTCTAACAACATTAGCACCAGCTTCAGCAAAACTCAACAGCAGCTGATGAATCTCCTCCTGAGTCCTACTATGATACCCAGCAGTCTTCCCAACATAAAGAAGCCTAGCATTGTCACCAACCAAATCCAACACATCATTCGAAACAAGGCGATCATACAGTAAAAGATCAGCAGATTGAATGATTTTCAGGGCTTTCAGAGTCAGAAGATCAGGATCACCTGGACCTGTTCCCACCAAAAACACATTTCCAACCCCACTACTATCATCAACATTAGGACCCCTCTTTTCTCTCAATACTTCTAGCAGCTTCTTGAGTTCAGGAATCTGCAAATCAATGTCATGTTCTCTTCTACTCTCAGAACGTGGCGGCGGCGAAGATGATGATTGAGAAGAATGGTCTTGAGATTGAGATAGTGAAAATTGGGATATAACAGGATAAACCCAATTCTCCCTTTGATATCTTTCAACTGAATTCTTCTCTGTGAAGGGTGAAGAGCTAGAACATTGAATATGCCTGTAATTAATGCAAATTTGAGTATGAAAATTTCTGGGTTTTTGCTGATGAGCAGTGAAATGATGAAATGATGGTGATTGAAGATGATTTAGAGCCGCCATTGAAAAGGGTAGCTTTCAACAAAGGTATTGATGTAATTAAAAAACATACAATTACAAAATGAAAGGGTTTTATAAGGAAATGGTCAATCAATGGTTCAATGGTTCATATTGGTGGCAAACGGCAGACAGGCAGCCGCAGCAGTGGAATTTGGGGAAGATGGAGAGCCAAAGCTAAGATAACAGTGTGACCTTTTAGCCGTTAAAAGGGGCAGGTTCATCTATACTACATTCCTCATTCCTCCCACTTGACCCAGGTTGTAAAATCAAATTTGGATTCATAATGTCAGTATTAAACTATTAATCCTACCTGGTTTCAGAAAAAAACTATTAATCCTATCTTATAGGGGAGTTTTGGTTCACAAAGGTTTTATTTAATTCACCTAAAAAAAATTGTAAAAACAAGTTTAATTTCAGTAAAATTAATATCAATTTTGACCCGTTCACTTCATCTTATTTTTGCTAAAGTGCAATAATTTTTACTAAATTGAAATTATTTTCGCTGAACTTAAATTAATTTTGCTGAACTTTATTTTTACTAATAATTTCAATTAAGTAAAAATAATTTAAATTCAACAAAAATAATTTCAGTTTAGTAAAAATAATTTCAATTCAGCAAAAATAAGGTGAATTGAACGGTAATTATGTGTAAATAAAAAGTTGTGATTATTTTAATATTTAAAGTCATCTTAACTCCTTTTCTTTTTGTTTATTTCTAACTCAAATTTAAACACTATTTAATATAAAAGCATTTTAAATAAATTTTAATGTATATTGAGTACAAAATTTACGGAGTATATAATTGTATAATGTTGGTTTTCAATTAGTGGTTCGTGGAGGCGAATGTACCATGCGCATGGTACATCCGTTTCCAAAAAAAAAAAAAAAAAAAAAAAAAAAAAAAAAAAAAAAAAAAACGAAAAGATCATTGTATTGAAATGTAAAGAACATTAGCTAAAATGAAAAGAACATTTAGTGAAAGTGAAAAAAACATGTTATAGAATTGTAAAGATTAAAGAACATATATCTAAAGTGAAAAGAACATATTGTTAAAATGTAATGAACGTGATAATTTCATGAACATAACAATATCTTATAAAGGAAATCATCTACCTTTGTCACATTAATCTCAAATTCAACAATCCATAAACAATGAATTTTATGATTACAAAATATTCCAATTCAAATTTAAAATAACACAATCAATGAAAAATAAATACAAAATTTCATTCAAAACTACGTTCGATTTGTTTATCAACAAATCTACATATTCACCTTCATTATCAATCACTCCATTAACAAAACAATGATCAAAAGCACCACGAAACTCGATCTAAATGCGCAACCATTTTTCTTCTATCAGTAAAATTTCTTTCTCTCTATAATTTTTCTATTTCTCTCTCTAAGCTAGATTTTTATTCCTCTCTCTATAAAGAATTCAAACAATTGAAATTAAAATATGTGATGTTCTATAAAATAGCTATATGTTCTTTATAAAACAACTATATGTTCATTACAAAACAATATATGTGATGCTCTTTATAAAATAGCTATATGTTCTTTACAGAACAATTATATGTTCATTACAGTATAACTATATGTTCATTCCGTCTCTTTTTTTTTAAAAAAAATCTGGATGCACGGAGCATCATGCATATGCCTGCACGAAAAAAAATTCATGTTGTTTTTCTATTTTATTTGTAATGTCTTGTTTAATTTGTTCTATTTCATCTCAATAAGTACTTCAAATTCAGAAATTTATATTTATAGATCGAACTCTATATTTTTTACCGTTCTCTCGCTAAATTAAAGTACCTCTACTAAAGTTTTGAACATTGCACAACTACACAACATCCAACACAAATATCGCATATAAGCAAATAGGTATAATAAAATATCATGCAAACAAGCATATGACATAAAAAGGCTACTACTAATAATTCTTCTCAAAAGGCTAGTCATATCATGCGCACTAGAATCCCTAGTAAAATTAAAAATAGAGATTATGGACATGTTCACTTTACCTTACAATAAGATAAAAATATGAATATAACCATTCGGTATAATGTGTGAGAGAAAATTCTAATATTATAATCATATATGGTCTTTTTCACTTTACCTTAATAAAATAATAGTAAGTAAAAATAATTTCAATTATGTAAAAATAATTTCAGTTGGATATTCGAATATGAAGGTACAAACCCAACTTAAAAGATATTGAACCTGCCCAAAAAATAGGCCTCTATACTAGTAGAAAATATAAAAAAAGGCACCCCCTAATTGCCACCGGTTCAGTCCAAACCGGTGGCAAAAATGGCTTTAAAAATTGGTGGGAAGCTGAACCAGGATATAAAACACCGGTTCACTTCAAACCGTGGCAGAAACATAAATTCCACCGGTTTGAACCGGTGCCTTTACGAACCGGTTCTTTTAATTATTAAAAAAAAAAAAGCGCCCCATTTAACTCCCCCAAACCCTAATTTTTCTCAGCCCTTTCTCCCTTCTCCTCCTCTTTCTCTCTCCTCTCCTCAATTTCGATTTTGATTGTTTTTTTTCGATTTCTATTTTTTTATAATTCAATTTTAATAGATTTTTTTTTCAATTTTGATTTTTTAATTTCGATTTATGGTTTTTTTTTTCAATTTTGTTTTTTTTCTATTTCTGTTTTTTTGTCGATATTAATTTTGATTGTGTTTTTTTCGATTTTGATTTTGTTTTTCGATTTCAATTTCGATTTCTGGGTTAATTTTTGGTTAAAATAATCGATTATTTTGGGTTAATGCATGAGGTTTTAGGATTTTTTTTAAATTTAATTTTATTTTATTTTCGTGGTTTTTAGGTAATTTCCTGGGTTTTTTTCCATTTCAATTCGATTTTAATTGGTATTTTTTCGATTTTCTTTTTTTTTAATTTCTGGGTTTATTTTATTTTCGATTTTGATTTTTTTTTTTATTTTGATTTTTGGTTTTTCGATTTTTGGGTTTTTTTTCTCCATTTCAATTTAGATTTTTTTTTTATTTTCATTTTTTTTCGATTTCTAGGTTTATTTTATTTTCGATTTCAATTTTATTTTATTTTTCGATTCTCATTTTTTTTTTCAATTTTCATTTTTTTTTTCGATTTTGATTTTTGGGTTTTTCGATTTTTGGGGTTTTTTTTCCATTTCAATTTAAATTTTTTTTTCGATTTCTGTTTTTTTTTTCGATTTTAATACATTTGATTTTAATCAATTTTTTTTTGTTTGTTTTAATTGGTGCAGGTTCATTGATTTAGATCTTAAATTGAAGAATAAAGATGCAAGAATATTGATTTAGATGTGTATGGGTTTTTGTTTTTTTTATTTAAATTATAATTTTTTTTATTTACGAGTATATTGTAATTTTTTTATTGTAATTTTTTTTTAATTATATATTGTAAATTTTGGATTATATTGATTGAAATTTCTGAATTTATATTGTGATGTTGTTATTTATTCTAGTTGATTTAATTGTTATGTGAAAAAAGACAAAAAAAAAAAAAAAGAAAAGAAAAAATTAAAATTTTGGGCATTTTGGCTCCGGTTAACCGGTGCCAAAAACAATTTAAAAAAAAAATTGGACCATTTTTGGCACCGGTATTATTGGCTCCGGTTTTGAACTGGTGCCAATTTTGTTTTTGCACGTAGTGCTACTTTATTCTTCTCATATTCATGTGCGCTTTCTGACTAACATACAATCAATAATATATTAGTCTTAAACCTGTTTAATCTATGTTGGTTGAATATTAATGCACAAACAAAACTATTATTGACGATCACTTGAATTAAATCACATTAACCTAAACAAGATTATTAATATCTTATTAAGCGTGACTACAAGTACAAATTTCCTTTAAAACTGCAAAAGAGGGTGTGATAAAGCAATAACAATAATAACATTGATACAACAAATCATCATCATAATAATATCCTTAATCTCGAAGCATAATAATATTATTAGCAAGATCCTAGGCATGATACTAACATGATTAATAACAAATCCTAGCATGCCACTAAACAATAAAGATCTAAGCTTTAGCCCTAGCATGATACTAACATGATAGAAGAAATAGGAAGTAACCTAACATGATACTAGGAATTAAAATAATATAATAAACATGTTTTCTAAAGATATATAACAATTGAAATTACTTACTTTGTTGCCTCAGCTCGTATCTCTTTCTAATAACAAAATACACACGTTAGAAACTTCAAGTAAAATATTAAATCAAACAATTAATTAAAATAATTGAAATAGGGATTTGGGACCAAACCCTAAGAAATTATCAACCTTTCACGTCTAAGGCAAAGACAACTTCGAGCTTGGCTAGATGTGTCTAAAGGGAAGGCTCGGAAAGAGGGAGAAAGAATAAGCTTCTAGCTTGTAGAGAGAAGAGAATAGAATATAATTGGATGATTGTTGATGATTGTATATGATTAAAAATGGGGAAATACAACCCTATTTATAAGAAAAATAATCCGAAAACGATCAGAAAAAGACCGAATCCAATTTAGAATAAAACTACTTTTGTCGCGGCGCGACAGGGTCCAGTGCAGCGCGACAGCTTTGTCGTTTCACGATGGTTCATTCGACGATGGTTCATGCGTTTTCTAAAATCTGCACGGAATCCTTAATTTTATTAAATTCGATCAATTAAAGTCCTTACTTATATTTTTAAAACACTTGTTTCATTCCAAATAAAATTCTTTATTTTCTAAAAACATAATTATTAATCCTAATTCCACTAGAACTCAAAATAACCTTTTAGATTATTCTAGAAGATTAAAATCAATCCTAATAATTTTAGAAATATTAATTAATGGGCCCTACACTTGATCATTGGGCCATATAAAACCATTGCAGGCCCAATTTAGTATTTTGGCCATAATAAATTCCTCATTATTCATTGAAATTGGGCTTATAATATATCGTTGGAAAGCTCTTTTCGAGCCCAATCCAACTACACTATTATTGGACCCTTATCATGGAACAAAATAAATTGGACTGGACATTTTCATAAATAGAGTACATTTCGAAAATAAGAAGAAAGATATTTTTATTAAAACAACCGCATCACAAGACTTTTCACATTTTCACTTCATTCGATAATCAATGACGTGAAAGGTATTCATCACTGGGTCTTGTTTTTGGGGAGACACAATTAGGTGTCTACATTAATATAAAAGAGAGAAAGAGAGAGTTTAAAGATAAACTGAGCAAGGACAGGCTCCTTGATAAGA